TAGATTCTTCCCAAGAAATAGCAAAGACCACCAGCAGGGGTCCCAAGCTTGCATTCTACCAATCTTAGGAACCCTGGTGAGAATTTCTCCTTCCTAATACTTTCAGCAAAATCTCATAGCCAGGCACCCACCTGTAATCCCAGAGACTTGGGAGGCTGAGGCCACTGGCTAAGGATCTACTTCAGAGATAGAGAAAAAAAAAAAAATCTCATACTTGGGTTTTATTGGTCTGTCTTGGGTCATGTGCTTTCTCTCTGGGCCAATCACTATGACCAGGAGAATCAGATGCAATTGACCAGGCTAGGGTCAGGGGTCCACCACTCTTGGTGCCTTAGCCCAGTTCCACCCAAACCTTGTGTTTTGGGGAAGGGTAGATTATGTCTTCAAGGAAAATCAAAATATTATAATCAGAGATTCAGGGGAGTGAATTCTGGGTGGAGAAAATATGAACATCACACAAGATGAAAGAATCATCTACGTCTAGTTCTTCCAAAGGGTTTTGCAGGGTGCCATTACAAGGCTCAGGAACACCTGCAGTTGAGCCCAGCCCTGGCTTCCTATGGGATGCACTTCCGCCCCCTTGGCTGTAAATAAGTTGCTTGTTTGGTGTGATCACTAAGGTTCTTTTATCCAATAGCATTGCTTATTTAGCACCTGTTATATGGCAGGCACTGTTCTGGACAGTGAGAATTGCCATTTCTTCCTTTTGGAATAGTTATATTCCCTTTCAGAGGTAAAGTAGTATAACGAATAAAATGGACAATAGTCCCTGATCTCATGAAACTTGCATTTTAGTCAGCATCAGAGAAAATAAGAAAATGCTATGTTATGAAGAAAAATGCAGACAGGACTGTGGGGGTGGTTTCAGTAGGTAATCAGAAAAGATGGCATCAGCAAAGCACAGGGAAGCCCTCAGCCTGTAACATCTACTGATCTCTCATTACCCTTATCATCACTGCTGTTATCTGGCATAATAAAAGCATTTGGTGACCCATTGGAGTCTCCAGCATTAAACACCCTCAGCTTGATGTATAAGATCCTCTACTGTGTCTTTTTAATTAAGATAGAATTCATATACCATTATATTCACCCTTTTAAAGTATACAGTTCTATGGTTACTGCTATATTGACAAGGTTATGCAACCATTACCACTATTTAATTCCAGAACATGTTCATCACTGCAAAAAGAAACCCTGTACCTGTTAGTGGTCACTCCCCATGGCCCCTGGCAAACACTAATCTGCTCTCCGCCTGTTTGGATGTGTCTATTTTGGACATTTCATGAAATGCAACCATATGATATCGGCCTTTGGTGTCTGGCTTCTTTCACTTAGCATGTTGACTTTGAGGTTCGTCCATGTTATCACATGTATTAGTACTTCATCCCTTTTTATGACCAAATAAATCCTAACCTCCTACTTCCATTTTCCATTATTCCTCTTTCTGATCCTAGGATGGAGCTGCACTGAACTGCCTGCCCTTCTCCTATCCCACTCTACATTTCTGAATTTACATTGTTTCCTTCTAGAATGCTTAGGCCCCTGTCTGAGACCTCTGGATGTCCATTAAGGTCTCTCACAAATGTTTCCTCTTGATGAAGTGCCCCCAGTGTTCTCTACCCACCATGGACTCCTTTCCAAATACCTCTTTTATTTCCACTGGTGGCACTTATTTTTTTCTCTACATTTACTTAATTTGAACCCTCCTACTATCCCAACTACACTATAGCTGCCACAGAGTCACCAATGGTTATTTTATCCTTAGCCAAATGCCTAAAACATAGCAAGAGATTCAGAAGTATTTTTCCACTTGCCTAGCATTGCCATAACACGATGGTTCTGAACCAGGGGCAACTTTGTCTCTCAGGAATCTGGCAACATCTGAAGACAGTTGTGGTTGTTCCAGGGGAGTGAGTATGGGAGAGGAGGGTGCTACTGGCATCTAGTGGGTACAGGGCAGGGATGCTGCTAAGCCCCCTCCAAGGGCACAGGATGCCTCCCCACAACAAAGACTTATTCTGCCCCAAATGTCAATAGTGTCAAAGTTGAGAAGCCTTTTCATAGACGAATCCTTTTGATTAGGTTAGCAAAAAACTCAGAAGAGATCAGTGTATTAATGTGGCAGAAAATTCATGCTTTTTTTTCCTTTTCTTTTTTAGGAACTGAGGTTGTGGTGACCCCAGTGCAAACCTCTTTCCTAATGCCATAGAGGTGTCCTGGGAGCACAGATGGTATTTTTTGCACTTGCTCTCCTCTGAGAGTGGCAGCTGACCTCCCAGGAATCCTTGAAGTGCTAGGAATGTAACTCCGTTAAGGAAGAAAACTCAGGGCTTCTGAAGTCCAGCAAAATGTCAAACATGGATCGTGCTCCCAGGCGAGGGCAGAAGAGGTATTTTTTTTTAAAAGTCCCCTCTCCTGGCCGCCGCACCCTGTTGAAACTTCAGAGCTGACCCTGTAATCAATGATTCAGGGGAACCTGACGCCCTGTCTCCTCTCCTTTCCAAAAAAGAGCAAGGAAGCTTTCAGAGAGGATTCTGTTTGCCACTTGCTTCGGTGAGCAACCCATTAGCAAGAATCTCATTTGCCAGAAACTCAAGGCACTCAGATCACTTGACTGAAAACAGCAGCCCCATCAGAGCCGAGGTTACCGGTTTACAGTCACATCTTATGTTCCTACTCATCCAATCCGACCGGTTCTTGTGACTGACATGGAAATTGGGTAATATATGCCCTAAAAACTAAAGGTCTGGAGGAGTTTGACAAGGCAAGGAATAGGGGTTGACCCATTATTTAAGAAAAAATTGTCCTTGGGGTAGAATTACCTGACAGGCCTGCTGGGACTTTTTGGTGGTGTGCATGCTTCAAAGGACAACCTTTAGTGCAGCTGGCAGAGACAGAAATACCTCAGCAGAGAAATCCAAGAGGTGCCCGCCCACCCCCCTCAGCTGTTTTGGGCACTCTCCAATTCTTGTGCCATAAAAAATTGCAAGGTGTGATTACATTATTGGAATTGGTATGCCTTTTATCTGGTAAATTAACTTTTTTTTTTTTTTTTTTTTTGGTCTATACGTTTGACAAAATCCCACTCACTGTGTGGAGTGATTTACTCAGTTCAATTTTTTGAGGACAAGAACATATAGAGTACTTGGCACCCTGTGAGCTGCAAAAGTGTTTAATGATGACAGTAATTAGGATAACAGAATAATGCGTGTTGAGTGGATGGTTGGCAGGACTGTAGGTATATTTAAAAAGTATAAAAAGGAATAATTTAAAGAACTCAGATGGGAATCCCTAAAGTAACTGCATTCCTGTCAAAAGCAACTGGAAAAGGACCAATGTTCCTGGGTGATATATATTTATATTTGAATTAAACTAAAAATTATTTCAAATTAGATAATTTGCCCCAAAGTTCAATTTTCTTTTATTTAATCATTCTGTTATTCAACAAACTTCATTTTATCATATGGTTCTATTCCTTATTCCTTCTTTTATTCAGTAAGAATTACAAATTTTCCCATTATGTGCCAGGCATTGCATTAGATTCTAATACTACAATGGCAAATGATCCTTGCCCTTGGGGGAACTTAGATTATAGTGAACTAGTTCTTCTTTTTTTTTTTTCATTTATTGAAGGAAGTATTTACTGTGTGCCCAGATGTTCTGGGAATACAGCAACGAAAAGCACAGGGCCCTCAGATAATGGGATTACTCCATAATGGGTAGAAGGAAGAGTAAGGGTAAAGATCTTCAAGCAGCTGTGAGCATGGCTGGAGGCCAGTTAGCTAAAAGGACACGGCACGAAATGTGGTGGTAAAGATATGCAGGGGCTGAATTACATTACTACCCCTGCAGGGCATGGTGCCTAACCTGGGTGCTTATACATTCATGTTCACTACAAATGGATTGTATCTTCCCATTAGATTACAAACTTCCCATTAGATTTAACTGTTACTCAACTAAATGACTTCAGAAGAGAGTCATTTACAATAGTCAATATCTGGGGAAAGCTACAAGATATCTTTGTTACAGCTGAGCTGAGAGCTTAAAAAGAAAGGAGAGTTGCCTTTCTTGGTAACCGCTGCCCTCTTATGAGAAGAGGTGGCAGCTGTGGCAGGAGAGAGGCAAGAGGGCCCATTTCTCCAGGCTTTGGCTCTCCCTCTTCTCCCTAGACCAGAGCTGGGAAAATACCTGCTTGGCCAGAGAGAATGTCAAGAAAATTAATATCTGGGGTAAAGAAATTTGGAGCCTGGAATTTTTACTCCCAGTTAGGCAGAACCATCTGCAAAGTTTGAAATGTTTACAGATGACATGTCCACAGTGGCAGTGCTTCTTTCTCTATCAGTGTCCTGGGTACCCTGATAGGGATATTTAACACACTGTTCTTCCTAAAGCGGGGGGGGGACGGACCCACTATGCCAAAAACAAAACTCTCCTTTGAAAATAGACTGTCAGTCTAAACCCTTAAAGCATATTAATTGTGGAAGCATCAGTAGGTCTGTATATCTCTTGTTTTTCATTATGTATTGTATAAGACAAAATGTGACTCCAATTCTGGTTTCCTTCAGGTTTTTGTTGAAAGGGATGCTGCTGTTATTTTTTAAATAGCCTTTAAAAGATACTGTTAAACGGGAGAAATACTGTTAGAAATACTGTTAAAACGGGAGAAAACGCCAAAGTAGCCCACCTATAATTCTCAATAACAACCTAAGTCCCACATCTGGTGAATTGTCCTAGGTCCTGGACCCCATGCAGCCAAGTCCAAAGCAACTACAACTCCCAGGAGACATTGTGTCCACACTCTCTGCGCACGCTCGACCTGGGTGACTGCATAGGGCAGCGAGCCCGAGGGGGCGGGGTTTGGACCTGGACCGCGAATCGGGGGCGTGGCTGGAGGCGGGGCCGGAGAGGGGGCGGAGCTGCCGGCGCGGCCCGGAACACGCTAGTGGAGCGGAAGATGGCGGCGGCAGCGGCGGCTGCAGCCGGGACCCCACTTGGGCTGAGGCGGAGAAGCTGCTGGCTCTGACCTCGCTCTGGCTCCGGTGCGTGCGGCGGAGCGTGTGCGAGGCCCTGCGCGGCTGGCAGGGGCGGCGGCGGCTACTGCGCGCCGCCCTGAGGAGCGCCCCGGCGGCGGTGCGACTGCAGCTGAGGAGAGAGCCGGCTCCGGGCCTCCGCGTCCTCCTGTTCCCCCGACCCCCCGCCTCCTCGGGGGGGCGGCGGCGGCGATGTTCTCGGTCCTCTCGTACGGGCGGCTGGTGGCCCGCGCCGTGCTCGGCGGCCTCTCGCAGACCGACCCCAGGGCCGGCGGCGGCGGCGGCGGCGACTACGGGCTGGTGACGGCGGGCTGCGGCTTCGGCAAGGACTTCCGTAAGGGCCTCCTCAAGAAGGGCGCGTGCTACGGGGACGACGCGTGCTTCGTGGCCCGGCACCGCTCCGCCGACGTGCTCGGTGAGTCCGGCGGGGGTCCTCGCCGCCCCGGCCCGGGATCCGCCTCCCGGGGACTCCCCTGCGCGGGGCTTCCCCAGTTCCTCCGGGTGGAGAGAGGAGCCAGCGGAGCTCGCGTGCAGGGAGCGCTTACTAGCAGCCAGGCGCCGTGCCAAGCGCTCCGAGGCGCGTTTTCCGTTTGAACACCCCACCCCCCATTTTAGAGATGAGGAAACTGAGGCGCAGAGCGGTCGAGCCAGGTGCTCAAGGTCACCGCCTGAGAATGTGACCAGTCTGTTCCAGTCCAGAGCCGCACTCTTAGTCACTTGGCTGTGTCTGCCCTGGGCGACCTCGTCCTCTCCCTGGGCGACACCTGCAGGCTCCTATCCTCGCTCAGGTTCCTTCCCTCCGCGTGCCCTGAGGATCCCTGCTTCGCGTGCTTCTGACACCACGGCCTGGCCACAAGCTGCGTGTCGGGAGTCCCCGACAGCCCAGCCGCATTCTTCCACCGTCTGCATCGTGCTGGACCAAATCTCCATCCAGTAGCGGGGCTGCTGGCCTGGTGAAAAAAAAAAAAAAAAAAAAATTCTCTTAGTGCATTCTCCCAAACTGATCTTGTCCACTTGAGGTCATTGGGGTGGCGGAGAGTCTTCTTGACCCAAAATAGATTAGTTGAACCTGCAGCCAAGAAGGCTTTGAGAATTGGTCACAGCCTTTTCAGGCCACAGGTGCTTCCTAAGGCCTGTTGCAGTTAGTTCCACCTTTGGGGAGTAGGAGGTTAGGGAAAGAGCTTGCAGAAAGGGCTAAGTAGAATTCATAAGCAATCAAAAACTACTGTAATGTCTGTCTTTGGAGATTTTGTGTATTTCACAGAATTGTGTGTCATTAAAGCTCTTTTAGAGAATAAAGTACTTCCTTTGAAATTGAAGGACATGCTGTCATTGGATTTAGGTTCAGATGTCACTTTCATTTTGCTTCTCAAGTGAGATTGAGTTTTTGGTTACTCTAAAGTATGTCATATGTTAAGGCAAGGTTTGGCATTGGAACAAATGGTTCTGTGAGTTTTTTATGACAGCAGTCATTTTTAATCCAATCTCAGAATAACTGCCTAGTAACTTTGGTTCTAGTGTTTGTGAACAGGAGACTGGAAAGGTTTCCAGTTTAATTTATGAATTACCTGGATTAAATAAAATCATTTAGCATTTAGGCAACACTATCAATGTTAACCTTTGAGAGGAAAACTCTTTAGGGTCAGGGTTCTCACAGATTGAAATTGTACAGATCCACTCTTGGAGGCAGCATGAGGAATTCAGTATATTTTTTTTCAAAGACTATCAAAAACTGTCTTTCCCTATTACACTTAGAAGTGCTTTATGCAATGAATTTGTAACCTGTGCTGCTTTACTTATTTATTTATTTTCCCTTTTTTAGCTTGTTGCTGGGTATTGAACCCAGGACCTTGCACATGTAGGGAAGTACTCTACCATTGAGCCATATCCCTAACCTACCTGTGCTGCTTTTCAAGTTGAAGCTGGACTGGGGGTATAGCTTAATAGTAGAGCGCTTGCCAAACAAGCATGAGACCCTCCATTGGATTTCCCCAGCACTGCAGAAAAGAAAAAAAAAAGTGTAAAGTTGCAGTCAATAGTACAACAGGACATTGAGGAGATAATGAGACATTAAGGTTCACCTTATAAATCTACTTGTGAAATAGGCTTTTGCGAGAGGTATGTGGTTTCATTAATGATTTAAGGGTACAGTAGCCCCCCTTATGCATGGTTTCACTTTCTATGGTTTCAGTTAACTGAGGTCCAAAAATACCAAATGGAAAATTCCAGAAATAAACAGTTGGTAAGTTTTCAAGCACATGCCATTCTGAGTAGCAAGCAGGATGAAATCTTGTACATTCTACCCAAGGATTTTCTCATTGATTGTATTCACAATGTATACACTACCCACCTGTTGGTCGCTTAGTAGCCATCTTAGTTATCAGATAACAGAGAGAGGGACCTAGTCACATAACTTTGATTACAGTATATTGTTTTAACTGTTCTATTTTATTATTAGGTATTGTTGATCCCTTACTATGCCTAGTTTATAAATTAAACTGTCATAGGTAGGTATGTCTGAGGGAAAATATAGTATACACAGGGTTTGGTATATCTGTGGTTTCTTGACTCCACTGGATATCTTGAAATGTATTCCCCAAGAGAAAGAGAGACTACTGTATTTACTGTATTTAAGTGTATCAAATTCCTATGCCTAAGTTTGATTTAAAAATTTTAGAATGTAGCCTTTTTAGTGGAGAGGCATATTTATAAGGATATGGGAAATTTTGTTCAAACCCGTTCTAAAACAGTATAAACTTAATTTCATGTGCTAGCATTCTGGCAGGAGCCAGGCCTAGTTTGAGGTTCAGCTTTGCCACTTAGTAACTCTGTGATTTGTGGTCTTGGGTGGAGCCTTTCTAGTCTCATTTTCCTTATCTAGACTAGAGGATGAAGGGAGTGGACTACCTGCCCCTGTAGAATAACAGCTTCTGACCAAAAGATCATATTTTCCTTTGTTTTGAAAAGATGGCACCCTTTATAATTTTGCAGCTCTAATAATATGTATTACTTCCTATCTCATTCACATGAACGCTCTTGGTGGATTTATTCCATTTTGTTTTTAGCAGTAAGTTGGTAGTTTTTAAATTTCCTTGATTTACAGCCTCAGAAGATCTTTGATCTCCTCTTCCCAGAAAATGTGCAGAAAGACAAAAGTCTGCATAGGCTTTCAGCAACTTTAGTAAGTGCATGTAGTCTGTCCATGCATTGCCTACAGGTCCATGCATGGGTATCAGATTGAGATCCCCAGCTCTGTACCTTTCCTGCATGGAATGTCACTAAGCACACCCAAACAGATGGTTATTTAATGTGATCGAGCAGTGGACATCACCCAGATTTGACAAAGATTGTGCATACACACAAGTGCAAATAGGGAGGGGAGGGGAACAAATAAGGGGCAAGTTCTCCAGGACTGTCCTGTTGTGTAGGAGCTCTTCTGAAAAGCTGTCTTGGGAGTCATCTGAAATAGCTTCCTAAGTTGACCTCATTTGATCCTTGACTGCCATGAACCAGTTCATATAATGGTGAATTCAATATTATTTAAGAAAATTTTTTTCTGTGGTACTAGGGATTAAACCTAGAACCTTGCACATGTTAGGCAAGTGCTTTACCACTGAGCTACTCCCCCAGCCCTTTTTATTTTATTTCGAGAGAGAGTCTCACCAATTGCCCAGGCTAGCCTGGAACTTTGAATCTTCCTGCCTCAACCACCTGAGTGGTTGGGATTATGGGCATGTGTAGTCACCGACCTCAGTGAGACTTTAATACTGCTATCTACTCTAGAAGTTGAAGTTATAAACAGAATGGTATTAAAGGCTATCTTGAATAATAATAGATTTATGTTGAACTTCAGTGCTTTTAAACCTTTCAAGTCCTATAGATAATTTATTTTCTTTGGACTGACACTAAGTATTTGCAACTCAAATTATTCATTGTGGTCATTTAGGACTCCTTTACTGTTGGAATGAAAGTTATTTCTTTTGTGTGAGGAAGAAAATGCTGTTTTGTTTCTTTAATTTAAAATAGATTTGTCCTATTAGTCATGCAGTGACTAAAAGTATTGGTGCTTCACAACCATTTTTGTAGTCCCCACTGGATTTCTTTTAGGAAAAACTAACTATGGTGGGTGTGGTGAGACATAAGGACCACTCCTATCCCCTGGAAAACTGGCAAAGGTACTCTCTTTATTAGGTTCAACAGGAGTAAATCAGTACCAGCAGGAGCTCTGTATACTTTTCTTGTTCCTTCTTTCCTATGGGAAGTCCTAAGTTTTCTTATTCTATATGGCATGGCTTCTAGGTACACAAAAATATGAGAGCTGCCTAGTGTAATCTCTGGGCTTCCCACAGCACTAAGCTACTTAACAATAGAATCTAAGACTGGAGAATCGCAAGATTTCGAAACCTTGGAATCCAGTTTTTTCATATTATGAATGAGAAAACAGGTCAAATTACTTTAAAGGTACTCTATCCACTAGTTATTGACAGAACCATGATAGCACCTTATTCTTCTCATCCCAGTTCTTGTTCTATTATGTCACTGTCAAGTTTTCTTGATGAAATATGTGAATTCTGAACCAGTCTGTCTCTAAGTACTACTTTTCCCGCTTAAGTAAGTGTGTGTGTGTGTGTGTAACTTCTTTATTCACTCTTGACTCATACCAGAATGCAACCAAAACTCCTCTGCGTGCTAAACCACAGTTTACAGAAACCACTTATTTTAAATGGCAGCATGGTCTGCCATGTAAAATCTGACCTCTGAATATTGAGTTATAAAGCAATTCTTACAAAACTGTGGGATGTTTGTTTAAGCTTGATTTAACTTGGAACTTAAACATGAAAATAAAACAATTTCATATTCCAGCCTTCCAGTCTGACTGTGGCCAGGATTTTGAAATGTTTTTTTGAATCTTGCCAGTCTTAAAAATAATCTTAAGGTATAAAGATTATGTGAGATTAAGCAGTAAACAGATCTAAATTACATTTAGGATATGGAAGGATGAAATAGAATTTGGTTTTATAGACAACTATGATAATTTTAATATACTTAATAGAACCTCTGTATCTGAAAGTAAGTTGTCTTTTTATAAAAAGTAACCATTTTGGGAGAGTGTGTGCACACTAATTTGTCTTTGAAGATGGCTTTGGAATTCATTGATACTTCAAATCGTGTTAGGAAACCATTCTCATGGTCATATTTTTCTTAAAGTCTTAATTTCAGTTTGATCTACCTGTTGGAAGTTTTAAAAAAAATTAGGCTGTATAATTCACATGCCATAACATTTAGGCCTTTAAAGTATACATTTCAGTAGTTTTACACTCACTACAGTGTACAGCCACTATCACTATTCCAGAACTTTGTCATATCCCCAGAAGAGATCCACTACCCATTAGTAGTCATTCCCCAGTCCTCTGT